AAATAACTTTTCCAGTGTAGTCGGATTTCTTAATTCAATAAAGTCTTGCACTTGGGGCAGTAACCTCGGCAAAATCACTTGAATTATTTCAGGATCCGGACGGTTTCCATACAAGAGCTTGAAAACGTGAATTTTTCTTAAAATAAAGCTCGAGAGGTTTTCGATTCTTTGTTGATATATACTGAAAAGTTCCGTTTCTAATTTCGCACGATCCCTTACAACAGGGAAGGCTTTTAGTAGGGCAGTCTTGAAATTTTCGTAAGTATAGGTGGGACTTCCTGCTTGACCCAAGAGACTTCTGCCTATACATTTGAACCAGTTAAGCGCTTGGCCCCTCAAAGCGCTGGTAGCTAAGGTAACTTTTTGAAACTCGTGCACGGGGTAGAGCATGAAGTGGTCATCCAATTTTTCCAAAAAACTGGTTACCGGTGAGTTTCCATTAAATGTTGCTTCTGGTTTCATCGAAGCGCGCATGGTCTGGACGATGTAACCGAATCCTTCCAGGGCGGCAGCTGGCATTTCTGGATTCTGAGCCGTTTCTGCAGGCAGCACAGGTTCTTCTTGAAACTCGGCCATGGTTATTCTTCTTCGTTGGGCGCCACTATCAGGTTCAATGTTCCTTCTAACCTTCTTCGGGAACATACAAGGACCTGACTCGGAACAGAGAGCTTACTAAAGCTATGTTCACTAATTGTGGTAAGTAGACAGGATACAGACGAAGGGTATACAAAACCCTTTATTTTTCTCTATATACAATAACTTCCGTACTTCGGAATACAATGACCCGCCACTCGGGGTCTAACGTAAAAGTATAAAAATAAAACTAAACTCTAATTTAACTTTAGAATAATACACGTGGAAGATTGGCCTTATAATAACAGGAAGCGTATGTAGCACAGAGACTGTGAACACTACAATACGTTTTAATTTATCAAGAGGATTAAAACCTCTGGCCTGGAAGGCAAACAGCAACTGCGTAACTTCTAAGGTAAGCGGCCTGCTTTGACTCACTGCTTCCTCTCTCTCGCTTGGCAAAAAGGCCACACTTAAATACTTGGCGTTCGCCAGACAAACTTTGCATAAAAACCTTCACGCTTATAATTCTGGCCGGAAGTAGAAAATAAGAAGTGATAGTAAAGATTTAAAATAAAATAAACGTTAGTAAAAACTTGTTAATCTTTAAATTCTACATTCATAAAACTTTTATGTTCAGAATGTGGAAGACTTGTTAGAAGATCACAGACTCTTGGCCAATGCTTTTACAAGCTAACAGTAGTGCTAAAAGTGTTGCAAGTTATTAAGGATCATAAGATAAGTGCAAGCGTCTGTTCTGACAGTCAAGTAATTATGAAATCCTTGGATAAATTCAGTATACTAAAATATTACAGGGGGAAAAAAAAGTTTCACTGGATTCTAGGGCATCAAGGCACCATTGGAAATAAAAAAGGCTGAGGAATTAATTAAAGCAAGCATTAACTTAATAATAGGTTGCAAAATATCATGGGGCTATTTAAGATTAATGACTAAAAAAAAAAGAGAATGAAGATCAGGCAAGAGAGATGTAAAGAAGATGATACTAGCAGAGCAAGGTAAAAGTTTTTCCCAAGAGTCTCTGAAAAGAGATACTTGATGGACTTCTTTGTAAATCAAACCCTAATAAATCACTTGGCCATTCCAAAGTATTTGAGCAGATTCAACTTGAAAGGAAAGATAACACTGTTTCTGTAGTTGTGAAATACAAAAGCAGATGCGATGCATATCATTTAGCATACCTAAGTATGAGTCCTGGAAGATCAACTTGGTTTCCAGAGAGATTTTCAGAAGATATGCTTTACAGATTACCACAGATGAATGAAAGAATATCTATAATCTTTCACTTTATGGAACATCTATACTTGAAAGAAGCAGAATTTTATAACTAATACGGAAATTGAACAATGTTATTGATGTTATGATTGTGCCTTACTATCTTTGCTAATTGTTAACTGAATTGTACTGTATTGTATTGATCTAATGCTGTATGCTAAATATGTAAATAATAATTACATTTTATTCATATAATAAAGATTTCTGTGAGGCCTGCAAGTCTCTTGAGACAAGAATTCAAAATTAATTATTTAATTATTCGCTCAATATTTAATCGATTTAAATCAAGTGTTTAACATGTACGTCTTCAAAATTTTAGCCTTTTGGCTCCAGTGATACCTCTTCTCTTTTGAGGTGAGGATCAGATTTTCCATTTTTATGCATAATTGTTGAAAAATACATGTCTGTTATCTTGGTTGGATTTCCTTACAATTTACATTATAACTCCCTAGATGTTTTGTTTTTTACAGCTCAAACATCTATCCTATCCAAGATTTAAGAACCAATAAAGTAAAATACCACAAAATGAGAATTTGCATCAATTATTTAAATTAGTGAGTGGAAGCAAGGTTTACTTCTTATTCTTTTTTAAAATTTAATAGATGGGTTAATTTTTATTGCTTTTTTCAGCTGCTTTCATGGATGTTATGGGAATAAAAAAAGCATGTAAGTTTTGTGAAAATCTTGAGTAATCTCCGTGAACTAGAAACGCTGTGTTATAGTGATAATATTTGCTTTTATGTGTAAATGTTAGTAAAATTGATTGACCATAGAAAATTGGTTTATATACTGGGTTGATGGATGAAATTCAACTTACGTTTTTCATATCTTGAAAGCGTGACTTAGGACATAGATTTATATATAGCTTTATTAGTACAAAGGTATTTTGACAAAAGATCGGACTTTTCTGATGTGACATACTGATTTTGTTTTCCATATTTCAATTCTATGACAAAAATTATGACTAAATACTATTAAATTTTGTAAAATTTGGTGAGAAATTTAAAAAAAAAAATTCTTGGCACACTTTTTTCAGTTTGCATCAAAAATAAGTGGCAAAATTTTTAATCTATAAGTTACCTATTTGCTTTTTTCTATTTTGCACTAGCAAAAGAGAAGGTGCATTCATCATTCTTTCAAATAAGCTTAACAAAGTGTGTAAACCACATTTGGCATTATTATTTTTATAACAAATATCTCAAATTTCAAATCAGGCCAATATATAAATTTACATATATCTTGGAAATTTTGAATAAAGATTCTAATGTTTGCTTATGTGCCTAGAAATACATCTACTTTAAGGTGATAGTACAATTTTTGTAGGTTATAATTAAAAAATTTTTTGAATAATTTATAAAAATTACAAAAAAATACAAATTTTAAAAGTAAATCAGAAAATATCTGCGAATTTTATTTACATTGAACCTGAATCTCTAATTTTGAAAGACAGAATCAAGTAAGTATAATAAAAAAAGAGATATTAGTAAAAATATACCAAATTCAATTAATATTGAGGAGCTAATGTTTTAAAAACTGCTGTTGTGATTTTTACAAAACCTGGCACTTTGGCATAATTTGACTTGCAGAATTGAAATATGGAAAAAAAATCGGTGTGCCATTTCAGAAAAAGGCGAATTTTATATCAAAATACCTATGTTAGAACAGTGCTATGCATAAATCTAATATATATTGTGAGTCACCCTTTTGAGAAATGAAAGTGCTAGTTAAACTTCATCAATTGGTCCAGTAGAATGGGAGATACAGAACTTTTTTTGTGCAGAGTGTACGAGGGTTGGAACTTTAATAGTGGCAACACAGCTGAAAAAAGGCTACGCAACAAAACCAAAGAATATTGCATACACCACACGTGAACTACATGCCTTCCTTACCTCTCAGCAAAAAGACTCGTCCTGCCTACGTCACGCGCATGCATAGTGACGCGAAGCTGATCCTTGTATTAGCTCGTGGTCTAAAGTAAGTGTTGTCAGGATGTTTTCAAAACAAGAGCAATGATGTTGGATAAAAATTGAATGTGCCAGAGGTCGTACAGAACGACAGTGTCATCAAGGGCTTCAAGAGGCTTGCGGGGAATCTGCATTGGCTTACAGAACCGTAGCAAGATGAGTGAAAGCATTCAATGAAGGACGTGAAAACGTGGCAGGCATGCTGTGGCCAGGTCGTCCCGAGTGTCAGCAATGCAGACGTGCAAGCTGTTGCCGCAATAATGGACAGTGATCATCGATGGGTTCCACATCAATTGACGGAAATGCAGAAATGGCTACGATACGATGCTGCCCGAACCCACCTGGAGCGCTATGAGCGCGAAGGAGATGCTTTTTTACGCCGTATCATTACGCTGGATGAGACTTGGGCCCGATCGTACCAGCCAGAACTGAAACGCCAATCAAACGAATGGCGTCATCACGGGTCACCACGACGTTTGAAATTTCGTCAGAACCCCAGCAATGTGAAAGTTATGGTGATTCTCGTGTACGGCTGTGATGGTGTCATCCTAATGCATACCGTTCCCCCACAGCAGACCGTCACTGCGCAGTATTACTGCTCATTTTTGGAGCACAATCTCCGACCAGCGTTGAGAAAAAAAAAAACGGTGACACTTTCTGCAGAACGCTCCTCTCATTTTGCATGACAATTCTTGGCCGCATGCAGCGAAAGCTGTGACTGATTTGTTCAAGCGATTGGGCTGGGAAGTGCTTTACCATCCACCATACTCCCCAGATCTAAGCCCTTGTGACTATGACAAAATTCCTAAGATGAAGGAACCACTTCGTGGCACTCGCTTCCAAACTATTCCTGAGATTCTTGCGGCAGTAGACCGGTCCATTCAAACTATCAACAAAACAGGCGCTGCTACAGGTATTCTGTGACTCCACATCGTTGGAAACGGGTTGTACACAATGTTGGTGACTATATCGAAGGACTGTAAAACATAGTGACATGAATCACTTTTGTATTCCTTGTAAATAAATAGTTGCCACTATTAAAGTTCCAACCCTCGTACTTTGGGAATTGGTGCTTAACTCAGTATACCTCTCTGCTGCTATTTTTTTCTTAAATTCCTATTTTATATGTTGTATATTTAATTATAACCAGGTGCTGCAAGTTATGTTGAACCAACTCGATGTCGAGAACAAGAATTTGAATGTGTGAAAAATTTGCGCTGTATTGATGAAAGATATTTATGTGATGGAGACAATGACTGTGGAGATGGATCTGATGAGGATTCTTCTTCTGGAGGCAAATGTGGTGAATAAACTTTAAATTTTGTTTTTGTAATGTTGTACAAAGTCCGAGATTCAGAATTTCTGAAATTTCGGCTAATCCAGATTTTGGAAATTTCCAAGTGTTAGATCATCAGTTTAAATGTTGTAAGAGAGTATATAGGACTTATAAAATTAAGAACATGGAATTATTGTGTACGAAATAATGAGGCATTTATGATCTTAAGGCATCAAAAAAATGTTCAACATTTATTTTTTATTTTATTAAACAATACTTTCAGTATAAGTGGTTTAAGGTTTTTTTTTGGGGGGGGGAGAAGGGGAGAGTTTAGTGTTTGTGCTTAGTTTGTGCTTGATTTCATGTTAATTTTTTAGATAGACACATATTCTTGTTTGAATGCAATGTTCCAGTATTCAGGCCTTATAATTCCATGTTGAAAATTCCCATTGAGCTCTCAATCAAAATCTTTTCCTTCTCAAAATCTCTTTTTGATCATTGGTAGCAAATATTTTCTGGATTTTAAAACCATATTGCAGGTTTCACCATCTGTTAGTTGATTGGGGCATTTTCATTCCAATGAAGAACTTCTGTTATATCATCATCATTTACAATCACTTTGCACATGTTTTCTCAAATTTCATTAACTCAAAGATTTTGCCTTTTGCTTGTGGTATCTGGAAACCTTCAAATTTCAAATTGTCAAATTATGCCAAGAATTAAAAAAAATATTTGCAGACATATCCTGCCTTCACCTTGCAGTGCTCCTTACAGCAAATTGTATGTCAAAATACACTCATGTCCATAAATTAAGGATAATTTGGAGTCACGCCGAAATCGAACTCTAAAATAAATATATTACCTGTAAAATCACTACACACATCTTCAAAAATCATTATGCAAATTTCAGGAAGTAACCAGATGACACCGATGGTACACCACAATGACGAGAATGTAAGAGAGTGATATATAAGGAATACAGGTAAAGAAGTAAAATTGTTTGCAGGTGCTTTATAAGCATTTCAGTGCAATAACCGACAAAGGACGCATTTGGATGATTTTACGTGGTAGAATTATCGCCGTCTGGAATGTGGCGTACCCAACTGGAAGTATCAGACGAACTTGGAATTGCCCAGAGTGTCATCTCCAGGCTTTGGCAACGATTCCAGATGATGGTAATGTGAGTAGACGTTACAGCACAGGTCGCCCCAGAGTTACAGCGCCGAATAAGGACCGGTATTTGGCAGTTACTGCCAAAACAAACAGGTGGAGCACAGCCTGAGACCTGCCTCGTCAGCTCTCTTCAGCCACTGGTACGACAATTTCAAGGCAGACCGTGTACAGACGCTTAGGGCAGATTGGTTTATATGTTCGTAGACCTGTCAGATGCGTTCCACTTACTGCAACTCACTGTCGCCTGCGGTTAGCCTGGAGTAGAGAGCATGCACTGTGGACACCGCAACAGTGGGCTTGTGTGATGTTTTCCGACGAGTCCAGGTTTAGCTTGCAGTCTGATTCTCGCCGGACTTTCATATGGAGAGCTCCAGGTATTCGTTACCACCAAGAAGAAAGCATCATTGAACGACACCGTTACGGTGGTGTAGGAGTGCTCGTTTGGGGTGGAATTATTCTGGGTTCCAGAACTGACCTTCATGTTCAAATTGGAATCATGACAAGCCATATCTATCGGGACGTCATTCTGGAACAACATGTACATTTGTTTCGGGGGTCCATGGGCACACAATTTGTTTATGGATGACAACGCCAGTCCTCACCGTGCAAATATCGTAAGCGAATGCCTTCAATCGGAGGATATCACCCGTACAGACTGGCCAGCATTCTCACCAGACTTGAACCAGTAGAACACGTGTGGGACATGCTTGGCCGACGAGTTGCAGCCCGTCAACCTCCTTCTACATGTCTACCGGAACTTCGGAGTGCATTGCTTTTTGAGTGATGTAATATCCCCCAAGATCAGATCGATAATTTGATACTCAGATGCCTAGGCGTTGTACGGACTGTATTGCATCGTCTGGGAGACATACAATGTATTAACAATCAAACCAACCATGTAATATTGGTTTTTTGTAAATAAGTTTTTTTTTTTTTTTTTTTTTTTTTTGGTAATTTGCTCCAGGGAGAAAAAAAAATCGCTAATTTTTTTAATAATATCAAACATATAGCATCTGTTTTTGCTCTTTACCTTTTGTTTAATAAATAAGCTTTACAAATAAGTAAAATTTGTTTTGCTTCTAACTGTCCCTTTGCCTGATTTTGCATTATCCTTAATTTATGGACATGAGTGTATTTTACAAATTCTGAATGGTCTTGCAACCGTTCATAAAATTTAGCTTAGATTTTAAAAGGGTAAGTTTATATCTGTATTTATTTCATATGTAGCACTCTAACATCTGCAGAACTAGCTGAATGTTGGATATGCAATTAGAAGGGAAGTTTAAGGCAGAGACATTATCTTTTATTGAAACTTTAAGTGGAGCATGAACTGAAGAATTGTTTATAATCAGAGCAATTTTTGCGCCATAAGCCATTGACTGATTTGAATAGTGCCATGCCTTGACATGAAATGATATTCAAACCAGTAAATATACCCTGAGATCGTATATTTTTTTTAATTACAAAATTTTCATTTATGTGTTCCTCCAGTATTTGTCTCATTTTGGAATTTTTAACATCAGTTTGGGCCTTTTCTGAAGAAGTTGCCAATATATATGGGGATGCATATTGCCAGAAAAGAGCAGTTTCATCATTGTTATAAATTTGTTGTTCTGCTGTTAATGACCTTTTTTTTTTTTTTTTTTTTTTTTTTTTTTTTTTTTTTTCCCCGTTTCTTATAGATGAAGTAGACAAATTCCATTTTTTTACAGCTTATCATTTATCATGGGGAGATTCCCTAGCCAGCAGGTGTTTGAAAGGAATTTTAGTCAGTGGGGGAAAAAAGGATTTTACAACATACCTGCTTTTTTTTTTTAGTATTATATTGTTCACTCCTAGACTTTGTAAAGGCGAAAATAAATTCACTGATGGTCTTAATGTCTGGATATTAGGTCATTTTATATATTGAGCATCCAATTTCAGGCTTTGTACCACATATCGTACTTTTTAAGGTGTTATAATTATTAACATTTAATCTGATATATTTAACTGATGTTTCATTATCTCATTTATGATTGTTTTTTAATATTTAAATTGATAGAAAATGTATTTGCATTAATTGGCTAAGTAATAAACAGTTTTAATAATTTTAACTGAATGTAAGTTGTAAGATTAAAGATATAAATTCATTCATGTGTGGTCAAAAGTTACTAACAAATTGATTTTTTGTTTTATATTATGCTAAATATAAAAGTATATTTTCATCTGAAATTTTTTTATTGATTATTTTTTTTAAAATTTAGTTTAAAAATCGACTCATATGCATTCCAAGCAAGCATTTTCATATGTTAGAATTTACTGTACAAAATATCGTATAAAATGATTGTAAAATGGTATGGTATTATTATATGACACTGATTGGAATATTTAAATTGATAATTCTGATATAGCCTGTATGTTTTCCTTTTTTTATGTTTCATAAATAGAAATTAGAGTTATGTGAGTGTTGGTGTATAAATATATAGGTTGGAAATTAATTTCAAGAAAATATGTTTTCATAATAATTGAAATTATTTACTTATTTCCTATAAATAAATTATGATTAACAAAAATGTGCTATAAAGCCATTAAAAGAGGAAATTTTCTTTTAAAAAAAGTTTGTAACTATAATGATATTGCAATTTAAAAATCAAATAATTGCTGAACTCTAAATGTGAGAGTTAATCTTTATTATATAATAGCTATTGATAGTAGTTTGTTTTAAAATGTTTTAATAAAGTTTTATTTAGGTTTTAAAAGCATTGATCCTTAATCTTTATCTGAAATAAACATTTTACAAAAAATATACTGCATTCTTTTTAGTCTAATTGTATACTTTTTTTTTTTTTTTATGTAGAAAAATTCCAGTGCCGTGCTGATCAGTTCCAGTGTGATAGCAATCGCTGCATGTCTATTCATTGGGTTTGTGATGGAGAAAGAGATTGTAATGATGGCTCTGATGAGGAGCCAAGTGTCAAATGCAAAAGTGAGTAATTTGAATGTTATATCATACATTGAAATATAGTTGAAGTACCATCTGTTCAGAAATTAGCAGTATGTCATAGCTTATGAAATGAATTTAGGTTTCAGTTCCAACATTTAAAGCTAATATGTCTCATGATTTCAGGGAATGATGACTAAAATTTTAAACAGAGACTAAAGGGAGATTTATTTTCATGCTTGCACACTGATTTTTTAAGCAATTTTAAAAGTAGTGATTATTCTATAAAATAATTCTAAATGTTAAAAGGAGATTGTAATGAATTTCAAATGTAAAAGTATACACTGTTTTACATTTTAAGAATTGTAATTGTGTGCATACAAATTCAGATATTAAATGTTTACATATTGTATTTAAAAACTGGTATTTATATTAAATGCAATTTTAGAGGTTAAAAGAAATTTCCAAGAAAATATCATAGGTCAAAATAAACACTTTATATTACTTTGTAAAAACTGTGGCTTTTAGAATGATTAAAAATGGCTAGGAAGGTATTTGATATATACAGAAAAGTACTTAAATTTTGTTACGTAATATATATATATATATATGTATAATAGGAAGAAATATTGTAGTGAACTTGCTAAAAAGTTACCAGGAGCTGTGGCTCCATGAATTAGTTTAACGCGGTATTTTTTAAAATATTAACATGGAAGTAATGTTTAAAAAATATTAACATGGAAAGGTGAAAAAAACAGCCTACACGTGAAATAAAACTGTTAAAATCAATGTTGGAAAACATGTGAATGCACAAAAAAACTAATCTTTTCGATGTGATAAGTGAAAAGTTAACACATATAAAAAAACAGATTGACAGAACAAGTTAAAACAAAATTAAAACATAAATTGCAAATATTAGAAAAATTATAAAAATTACAAAGCGAAAAATGGTAAATTAGCCCAATTGGACTTCCAACCAGGCTTTTCAAGGGAAAAATAGTTGAATGTCGAACTAAGCTAACACCATTACGCGTTTCGCCGAAACAGATAATTGAAGCTCTTGTTTGACGAAAAAGAATTTTTAAATAATATGAATTATCCTGAAAATATCTTTTTGGAGCTTCAATTCTCTGTTTCAATTTCCCGACGCGTACGCTGAAAAACACATTAAGGTGTAAGAAAAAGTAAAATGCAACTCTGAGCAAAACAAAATTAAAATCAAAATAAAATAAGTAGCGGTCTGCTATTAGTCAAATTATACAATAACGTACGAGCTGGTCCTGCTGTTTCGGCGAAACGGGCTGGGTTCGGGCTGGTCCTGCTGTTTCGGCGAAACGCGTAATGGTGTTAGCTTAGTTCGACATTCAAATATTTTTCCCTTGAAAAGCCTGGTTGGAAGTCCAATTGGGCTAATTTACCATTTTTCGCTTTGTAATTTTTATAATTTTTCTAATATTTGCAATTTATATTTTAATTTTGTTTTAACTTGTTCTGTCGATCTGTTTTTTATATGTGTTAACTTTTCACTTATCACATCGATAAGATTAGTTTTTTTGTGCATTCACATGTTTTCCAACATTGATTTTAACAGTTTTATTTCGCGTGTAGGCTTTTTTTCACCTTTCCATGTTAATATTTTTTAAACATTACTTCCATGTTAATATTTTAAAAAATACCGCGTTGAACTAATTCATGGAGCCACAGCTCCTGGTAACTTTTTAGCAAGTTCACTACTATATTTCTTCCTATTATTTCATATTTTTGCAGCATTTTGTGAAAAAAAAAAAAATTAAGACCAAATAGGTCTTACATCACAGTACTTGTTAGCTTTTCAATTTCTATTTCAATTATATAATATATATATATAATAATTTATTTCCTAAACCGTATTGATTAATTGATTATATTATCTCCTAAGTTTAATTAAAGTAGAATTATTTTAAAAGTGTGCATCCATACTGGTAAGTTATATTTTGAAAGATGTTTTGAAGTAATTTGAAAGCAAAATGTTAATAATGTTTTAACGGGGACTGGAGTTAAATCATCACGAAGAATAATATTACAATTGTAAAAGTAAAAAATTAAAACATGTAAATATTGTCATTGATCGGAAATTAGTTGACTTTTCAAGGGGAACAAACCAACTCCCGTTCAATGATCAATAATTGATAGAAATACGTAAATATGAAAGTGTTTTGTCTTTACTCGAGTTATAAATTAAAGCCAAACCGGCAATTCTAGTCAGGCCAGATATTTCCGCGAATAGTTGTTACTCAAAGAACTGATTCTCATGAAGCATTTTAGTCAATTCAATTTGGAGTAAAAATCAATTATTGTAGAGAAATCTTGTAAAACTCGAGTAATCGTCCCCGACACTATCATCTTTATGTATTTGAGTACTATATTATTTGTAGAAATTAAACATTGGAAATTGTCATTATGAAATCGAAATCAAAGTAAAGTTGAAATATAAACAAATCAAGAGAGAACATAAAAATAATATAAAAATAAAATAGAAAATAATATGAATAAGATCAGTGAATGTACATGAAGATATAAGGCCAGAAAGGTATTAAGTAACTTACATTCTTTCTAGTGGGGGAGTTGGCAGTGTGTTCTCTTCGTGTCTGACTCAGAAGTGTAGGTTGTCCGAAAATTCTTAGCGGCAGTAGGGGCTTTGAATTATATCAGTCGGCAAGACTTGGGTGAAGAAATTTATGGTAGTGGGTGGGACTTGGAATTCTTGAGGGACGTATTTTGTGGAGTTCTTATCTCTGAGAGAGACCGTCTGTTAAGATTTTTTTAAAAATACTAGTGAATGGAAATTAATTAATTTCTGGCTAATTGTCGTGTCGCAATGATTAAGAATTTAAGAAAGGAAAAAGGCATTTTCGCTATCCAAGAGCTAGTAGACAGTCTAAAGGCAGGAAGTAGGCCCCAGTTTAGGAAAATAGGCATCCGCAGTTTGACAATATTCATTTCTCAAGAATCATCAGAGATTGTAAAGATTACTTCCCCGCAGTTGACACTATACCAATGATTGCATTTAAATATCAAAGGACCTTAAGCAACTTGCTTACTAACCACCATGAAATAGATGAAACTGCAGAATGACATTGTAAGACACCAATTTACAGCAATTACGTAGATTCTCATCACCAGCACATAATTACTGGCAACCTGAATATCATACAAAACCATCAACTAAAAACACTAATGAGTTATGGTACAAAATTTAGACCAGTCAGAAACATGACTACAAATTACTGTTACAAGACTTTCGAAAACAACATCAACGAATTTATAGTTAAAGCAAGCTATCAACTGAATTTTCCCATAGATACCTTCTTAAAATGGAAAGCTAAAATTCTTCAACGCATATCCACAGAAATCAGTCACCTCAAATTTAAAAGTACACTGAACTGGTCGCAACTTACATCTGATATTAGTAAATTAAAACAGCTTTTTACTATTACAAAAATAGATAAAGCAACTAATAACTTTAGCATTATATGAAAACAATTCTACACTGAGATTATTCATAAAGAACTTCTCAACGCAACTACTTATCAATCAGCCAACCTTACAGAAACATCTATAATAAACAGGATTAAAACTTTTCATAAGAAACTCAATATTACTTTCAATGCAAACTACAACAGATTTACTAATCTTTATGCGATTCCCAAATTCCATAAAACACCATTAAAATTTAGATTTATAGCTAATGGAACTAATAATTACAAGAAAAATATAGACTATTATTTTTCAATTCAACTTAATAAAATCTGTAAATTTATTTTCAATGATTGTAACACTAATCATAACTATTGCTGGATCATTCATAATAACACTCCTGTCATTAATACCATTCATACCATTAACATCCAAAACATTAACTGCTATGATTTTGAAAACTTATATACCTCACTTCCTCTAGAAGAAATCTATACCAGTCTACTTGATCTACCAAAACTTTTCCCTAATATACTCAATATCATGACTCTTGACAAATGGAAAACCTACCTAAAATGCACACTTTTTCATAACTACATCAAGTTTCAAAATCAACTTTTTAAACAAGTCAGAGGATTGCCAATGGGCTTACATTCCAGCACCTCGATCTGTAATATCTTTTTATTTGTCAAAGAATTTAACTTCCAAAAAAATCTACAACCACAAGAGTTAAATTACTACAAACACACCTACAGATTTATTGATGACCTTATTACAATTAATAATTTTGGTAAAATTGAAAACTCCGACATTTATCCGAATTGTCTTAAACTTAATAAAACTAATAATTCACAAAATAGCATAGACTTTCTAGATCTTCAAATCATTAACTACAAAAAAATTTTACTTTTTGACAAAACAAGAAACTTCAATTTCAATACTAACAAATTAATAAATTGGAACTCCAACATATCCAAAAAAGTAATTAACAATACTATAATTAATCAAATACAACGAATTAAAACTATATGCACAGATACAATAGATTTACAACGCGAAATTTTGATCCTTATCAAAATTCTCAAAAATAATCTAATTCCCTTTCAATTTATCAACCATTGCCTTAAAAGAGCAGGCGTTAAATACTCACTCTAAATCATTTAACTGATAGGGATATGATAATTTATTCCTAAACCTGAGAAGGCGGTATAAGTTGGATGACTGTCAGTTGAAAGATTTGTATATAGTGTAATTACTCAATTGTATATATTGTAAAAAGCTAATTGTCTTCAGACATATACTGTTACTATACTGTTACTAAAAAAATGGGCCTATTTCCTGCCTTTAGACTGTCTACTAGCTCTTGGATAGCGAAAATGCCTTTTTCCTTTCTTAAATTCTTAATCATTGCGACACGACAATTAGCCAGAAATTAATTAATTTCCATTCACTAGTATTTTTAAAAAAATCTTAACAGACGGTCTCTCTCAGATAAGAACTCCACAAAATACATCCCTCAAGAATTCCAAGTCCCACCCACTACCATAAATTTCTTCACACCAAGTCTTACCGACTGATATAATTCAAAGCCCCTACTGCCGCTAAGAATTTTCGGACACCCTACACTTCTGAGTCAGACACGAAGAGAACACACTGCCAACTCCCCCACTAGAAAGAATGTAAGTTACTTAATACCTTTCTGGCCTTTATATCTTCATGTACATTCACTGATCTTATTTATATTATTTTCTATTTTATTTTTATATTATTTTTATATTATTTTTATGTTCTCTTTGATTTGTTTTTGCAAAGTTTGCATTATTTATCTTTTTATAATCTTCTATGTTTATTTCAACTTTACTTTGATTTCGATTTCATAATGACAATTTCCAATGTTTAATTTCTACAAATAATATAGTACTCAAATACATAAAGATGATAGTGTCGGGGACGATTACTCGAGTTTTACAAGATTTCTCTACAGTAATTGATTTTTACTCCAAATTGAATTGACTAAAATGCTTCATGAGAATCAGTTCTTTGAGTAAGTAACAACTATTCGCGGAAATATTTGGCCTGACTAGAATTGCCGGTTTGGCTTTAACTTATAACTCGAGTAAAGACGAAACACTTTCATATTTACGTATTTTTATCAATTATTGATCATTGAACGGGAGTTGGTTTGTTCCCCTTGAAAAGTCAACTAATTTCCGATCAATGACAATAATTACATGTTTTAATTTTTACTTTTACAATTGTAATATTATTCTTCGTGATGATTTAACTCCAGTCCCCGTTAAAACATTATTAACATTTTGCTTTCAAATTACTTCAAAACATCTTTCAAAATATAACTTACCAGTATGGATGCACACTTTTAAAATAATTCTACTTTAATTAAACTTAGGAGATAATATAATCAATTAATCAATACTGTTTAGGAAATAAATTATTATTAACTAACTTTGCAGCAATTGCGCAAGTAATAATAACTTGTATTCGCACTAAATGGATTTAAGTTCATACAACATTATATATATATATATATATATATATATAAAATTGAAGCTAGTAAGTACTGTTAAGTTAATAGTACTGTGCTAGTAAGTACTGTGCAGCAGTAACTTAAAAATTTTTTGTGCAATATTCTGCAAAAATTATGAAATAAGAGGAAGAAAAATTGTAGTGAGCTCGCCAAAAAGTTACCAGGAGCTGTGGCTCCAAGAAATAGTTCAACACAGTATTTTTTAAAAAAACAATGACATTGAAGGGGGAAAAATTAGGCTACATGCGAAACAAAATGTAGAATATAAAAAACAGTTAAATCAATCATTGGAAACATGTGAATGGCAAAAAATACAGTAAAAACCTATCGATGTGATAAGTGTATATATATATATATATCGATGTGATAAGTGTATATATATATATATTATACTTAAATTTTCTTACTAAATATATATATATATATATATATATTTAGTAAGAAAATTTAAGTATTATATATAAACTTTTCTACATCTAGTTCTGCTGAAGATTTTGATATGAAACATTATTGTATTAGTTCATTATAAATGTTGAAACTTTTAACTCTGTGCAGTTTATATCTTAATTTCTCCATTATTTAAATCACCATATAAGCCATAGTATTTGATGAGTCGCATGCACTGTAGGCATGTAATCATGCACAAATGTTCAGACATGAAAGATTAGTTTTGACATAATGCATCTTCAAATTAAATTTAAACTATTTACATATATTTGCAACTAAATAAATTTCTTTAAGATTAAGAAAATATTCCACATAACCACATTGTTAATTGTGTGTTTTGTTCAATGAAAATATTGATGTGCTATATCTTTTTTACGCTGTTATAAGAGAAGAACTTAATTCCAAACAATCTCTTATAGATAAATATAAATTAATCATGATTAATTATTCAGAATAAGTACTAATTTCACATATTAATTTTAAGTGAAGGTATTTATTTTCATTTATGTTGACCAAATTTTATTCTTTCTGTCATAAATAATGAGAGAAAGAAAATAGCCACCTGTTCTAATGTAGTTACTGATCTAACTGTGATTTCTTTCATTAAAATAATACAGTTATACTTTGACAAACGTTTTTGAGAACCTGAGTTTCAAATAATCAGAACCTGAGTTTTTGAGACATTTGTCATGTTGTGTGTTAAAAAGGCCTTGGAATCCATGTTTGTCTGCTTATAAATCAAACTAAGCATGAAAGAAATTATTGCAAATTATTTTAGTGCATTAGAAATGTTGAAACAGGAATGAGTAAAAAAATATAATTTAAAATTGTGTATTTGTGTTGGAAAAATGCTACATAAAGTCATAATTGTATGGAATAATGTTGTGCTGATAGCAAATTCAACGGTATAATGTTAGTTCACTTTAGAGTGATTAAAAAAAGGCTCTTAAACATGTAAAACGAAAATAAATTACACCAGTTCTTTTTAATTACTTTTTAAATGTTGGCAACAACAAGAACTTTAATATATAGGATGACTAACTAACACAGAAACTCCACTGGACTGCAGATTACATCACGTTTAAAGATTTTACTAAGTATGTTTGGTACAGGGTCAGCATGGTTTGAGTATTATATCTAGTTTTGTTTTTCCAGGATAGGAATTAAAATTAATTCAGCATCATTCGAAGATTGACTTGTTAAATAATTTCAATTAAAAGAATTCAGATTATGAAAAACAACTGAGGGTAAACAATTTTATAGTAAAATATTTAAATCTTTGCATAAACTTTTTTAATCCTATTATCATTTGAATTTTGCTACCACCAATGTTTATGCTGAAGTTATGCATAAATATTTTATATATAAATGTATTTTTTAGATACTACATGTAGTTCAAACATGTTTACTTGTAAGAAAAGTGGTCGTTGTATCCCTACAAGTTGGACTTGCGATTCGGATCTTGATTGTGGTGATGATGATATTTCTGATGAGCATGATGATTGTGGTAATTAAATAATTCATTCTGTGATTTTTTGAAATGTTTGATGCATCAAAATGTATAAAGTTGAAATTATATTGGATAATTTAAGTTCACGTATAGTTATTGTATTCATAAATAATTATTCATGCATGATAAGCCAGAATGATACTAAACTCCTAAAAAAGTCATGAATAGAAAAACCAGAATTATGTCTCTATAAAAGCATTAATCCAGTTCTTAATGCTTTACAAATTATAATATTTTAATTTTTCATGTTTAATTGTTATTTTTGTCAACATATGGCAGTATGATTATATTTACTTTGCTTTGCCCATTACTTTCAATAAAGCTATAAAAACAGTTGGCATTTCCATTTTGTAAGCATCTGTTTGCTTCCAAAGAAGAGGGACCTGCATCCAATCACCCTCGAAACCAATAAAACTGAATCCAAAATCTGTGCCAAACTAAGGATGCTTTTTTCACATTTTTAATCAACTCATCTGCTATTATGATTATATTATGATTTCAGTTGAAAATATTTGTGTGTTTAATTGATTATGACAAAGCATGCTAGCCTTTCAAAGGGAAGCTGGCTTGCATTTATACTGCTCATGAAAGAAACACTGTGGTTTATATTTTATTAAGACATATGTTAATAATATATATATATATATATATATATTCGTTTTATAAATTAGTCGCTGGTGTGGCCAGCTATTTAAAATAGTTAAGAAAATATATTGTTTTCAATGAGTCTAGCTAGTGTAGTTTCATTAGTGTTGTTAATCCAGCCGGTAATTAACAGTAACAGAGATAAAGAGCTGCATTTATTATTTTTAAATTGTTGAGTTTGTTAATTGGTAACAGACAGATTAAATTTCTAAAAAGTAATAAATATCTCACACTTCACTAAATGGCAATGTGAGGGGAAGATAAAAATATTTTATATCAGGCAATGGAAATACATTTTATTTAAATCTTTGTGTTCTTTTGTTAAATTTGAATTTGCCAAGTGGCAACACATTCACGAGTTTTCTGAGTCAATTAGAATTATAAATATCTCATACTTTGTCAAATGGCAACACATTGCTCTTTAATCACTGAGTTTATTAATCATTAATCCATTAAATTCAGACAAAATATGAAATATATCGAAAACAAATTCGAATATAAAATACTGGCTTCAATGGACACATTTCGAGTTGGAGGACTAGATGTATTCAAAATTTAGTGGCTCTAGGTGTTACCATTTTCTCCCATTGTGAAGAAAATACTTTCAGATTCTTCATTATTTATTAATTGAGTTAAATTATGCAAAATTACATCTGTTCACAATTAATTGCTACCACACTTTATACCTGACTCTTGAAACAGTATTACTTACAATGCTCATATGTACACTTTCAAATACAGTCAAAAGTCGTTAATCCGGACTCGTCGGGACTTCGGCGATTCCGGATTATCGATTTTTCCGGATTATAGATCATCAGTTTAAATCTGGTAAGATGACATGCAGAAATTACAAAATTAAAAATATGAAACCGTAATTTATGAAATAATGAACAATTATGATCTAAAGGGTATCAAAATTTACAAAAAGAAAAAGCTTAATATTTATTTGTTTACTTTATTAAACATTTCCTTCAATGTAAGTTGCTTCGTTTCATGTGATAATACTTTCTCTTTAGTTCTATTGAACAGACATAATTTCTTGTTTAGTTACAAAGTTACGCTGTTCAAGTCCTATAATTGCTGTGTTGAGAATACCGACTAATTTGTCAATCGAAATGTTTTCGTTTTCAATAACCTCTGGGTCACTTTCTTCACTATCGGAAGCGAATTATAATGACGAGGAACTTGATTTAAATCATATCAAAGACCGAGTACATCGAGATGAAATACTACACTTGGTACGGAATTATAAACCAAATAAAATAAAAACATCTGCCCTGAAGATAAGGATAGTGCTGACAGATCAACTTCCAATCCACCACGTGAAATTGATAAACAGAATTTCGGATTTCAAAACATACTTTCGCTTTGTAGATACAAATTACATATTAGTAAATATATATCGGAAATTCTATTTGACATAATCTTTCTAATCTATCATAATCTAATAATGACGTTTCTGCCCCCCCCCTCTGCCGCAGAGCAGCGTGAATTTGATAAACAGATTTCGGATTTCAAAACATACTTTCGCTTTGTAGTAAATATATATTGGAAATTCTATTTGACATAATCGAAAGTTCAAGCTTACTTTTATAAAATTGCTCTAACAGTCTGCAAAAAATAATAAGCCGGATCCAATTCGAAGATTAAGGAACAACGCAATCTGCAACATTAACTGAATTAGATAGCTTTAGCTTAGCGTATAATTCCTTTACACATTAAACGCGCATGCGCACAAACATATTCGCAGCCGTAAGGGTCTTACGCGCTCTCGTAAACGCCTGTGCGCATGAGTGAACGCAATGCATGCTCAGAAAGTTTGTAGCTTTGAGGTCCGGATTATAGATCATTCCGGATTATGGGTGTCCGAATTAACGACTTTTGACTGTATTCTGTATATGATAATTTCATGATCACTGTGAGCTTTCATTGTGTAGGATTCTTTTTATATGTGCTTTTTACTGCATGGGCATTTCTTTGGGCAGTGTTTTTGTAAGTAATTTTTTGACCATTTGTGACTATGAGCTTTTCTCATGAAACTAAATTTTATCAACTTGTAAATTCTGTTTATAAGCCATTTTTTTAATAGTGGTGTAGGTTTCCCTTAAGTTTCAGATGGTCTAAAATAAAAGTGAGTAATATAGATATACTGTATATTATAATATTTTTAAATTGTATGTAAATATTACATTATAAACTATTTGAACAAAATTGGGAAGAAGTAGAAAAAAAGAAAAAAGTCAGTGTCTTAGAAACATAAAAAATAACTGTCAAGGAAATATGCTAAGAAATTATAGAGCAATGATAAAATAAAAATAATAAAATACCAAAAATTAGATTACAATGCTATTAGATTTGTATAGCAGATTTGAAAAAAAAATCAATCATTTAATTCTAAGCAGTGAAACCTTTTATAATAAACTTTTAATTCCAGAGCTTATAATCTATGTTAGTAAAGTATATTCTGCGTATTTTTGTATTTTTTTAAATTCTTAGAATTTAACAAATTTTTAATATATATAATCAGTACATAAGATAATTTTTAAATGATTCTTCAGTTGGTATTGTAATTTAAATACAATACTGTATTATTTATTGTATTTATCACTATAAATGGCGTATCACTTTTCAAATTTTGCCACCAAATGTTAGAGTACTGCATTATATTTGAAGAAATTAAATAATGAAGAATCGTGCATAAATGTGTGTATGTTTCTCGCATTGTAATAAAACAACGATACGTAGAGAGAGCCATCCAGTTTTGAATGACGTAATCCTACTGCGAATATGGACATCTGAAAGCCCAAATTTGAAATTTTGAATTTGTTTTATAAACAATTTCATATTTTGTAAAACTTTAACGAATTTTTGATTAACAAACTCATTGATTTAAAAGTGAGCCATGGCAACACTCTATTCGGGGGGGGGGGAACCTTTTTATCTCCAGCGCGCAGAATTGTGTATCGGAAATTATAAAGATATGCTGATTTTAAAATTATTTTGTGATATTGCTGTTGAACTGAATTTTATGGTTTAATTTCAAAGAACGTGATATTTAATAAATAATAAAGTTAACACACAAAATGTTAAAAAAATGCCCCTTTGGACGTAATTTAAAATCTGAAACCTTTCAGATTTTTTTTATTTGTTATTTTTAATTTTTATTCACCCAATGAAGATAAGATCATATCTTAGGCAATTATTTGTTTAAAAGTAAATATTGTTTAGGCCATATTTGAATATTATATTTATTTTAAATGTAATATGGTGATTATCTTTGTCATAAAGCTGCTGATATAAATTATTGATGTTTCTTTTTCTACCAGTTTTTAAAGGATAGGTTGGCATTTGCTGTTTTATTAGTATTTTATCATTTTGAGCTGCTGTAATTTTTTTTTCTTTTAACTACCATTTTATTGTTAAATTCTCATGTCCTTTATTTGAAAATGTTTTAATAAAGCATTGATATTTAAGTACATGATTTATATGTTATTTATTTATGTATGCACAGGCAAATACTATATTTATTTATTTGTATGTGCTGTCTAATATTTGTAAAAGAGTTTGAAGAAATGGGAATAAATTTTTGTATTTAATGTTCAATCCAGAAATCTTCTTACTATGTATTGAGGCATTCTAATAGATTTATTATCTATTGGTAAAGAACTCATATCAGAAGCATTAATTTGTAAAGTATATATCTTAATTAAAATTATGCCTTTATATATACATTTTATATCACTTTTATTCTTATCATGTATGAAACTGTTTCAGTCTGCTGTTTTTTGGTAGTTTAGCTAATGAAACTTCAGAAATAATGATTTATTTCCAGATTTAGTTCTTAAGAGAAGACACTTGTTAGGAAGAGTTTTTATAGTTTTTCTGTCTTTTTTCAAAACACAGACTTTAATTTTCTCAAGAAAGTTGTTCTCATAAAGCATTCCCTTTTGACAGACAGAGGGCTTTTTTATTGTTAATTAGTTTAATATTATGTTTTTAAAAACTAAAAAACTACATTTCCATTATATTTTAAAACTGTGTTTAAGAATTATATTTTTATATTGATCCTATTATAAGTAAATTGTGTATTTTATGTGTGTTGCTTATTTCAGTTTATCCAGAATGTGAAGCTATAGAATTTCGATGTGACAATCAAAGGTGTATTCCATTAGAGTATGTATGTGATGGAGATGATGATTGCCGTGATGGTACTGATGAACGTTCGTGTATGCAGAAATGTGATGGTCCTCATGAATTTTCATGTGATAAAGGTACATTGTGTCTTAGTGAAGCATTAGCATGCAATGGAGTTAGGGACTGTAATGATGGAACAGATGAATTGAATTGTAGTAGTAAGTAAATGTTTCATTATTGTATTTCAGTTATGTGTAATGCAGAAACTTATAATTTAAAAACTAAATTGGAACAATATAAAGAAACATTACAGAGGAAAAAACTGCTCAGTGAAAATTTTTTCTAATAGAATATGTATGTTAATTATGAGACTTTTTGGGCATTTCAAGAAATTAATACAGTACAAAGTCCATAATCCAGACGTCTATTATCCGGAATGATCTATAATCTGGACCTCAAAGCCACAAACTTACGCGTGCGCATTTGATGCCCGCATACACTACGCATGCGCGTAAAGCCAGAAAACGAAAGAATTTTGATTGACAAGTTAGTCGGTATTCTCGACTCGGCAATTACAGGACTTGAACAGTGGAACTTTGTGACTGAACAAGAAATTGTGTCTGTTTATAGAATTAAAGAGAAAGTTTTAGCACAAAAAAACGAAGCAACTTAAACAACTTACATTGAAAGAAATGTTTACCAAAGTAAACAAATAAATATTAAGCTTTTTTTGTAAATTTTAATATCCTTTAGATCATAATTGCTCTTTATTTCATAAATTATGGTTTCATATTTTTAATTGTATAATTTCTGCATGCCATCTTACCAGATTTAAATTGATGATCTATTATCCAGAAAAACCCCTGATCCGGAATCACTGAAGTCCCGATAAGTCCGGATTACGAACTTTGTACTGTATACATTAATAGTATATATTTCTTAAGTAGTTTTAGGTTAAATAGAAATATAGAAAATGCTTTTGTGATTACTTCAGATGCAGGATGGAAGGAGTTGAATTACATGTAGAAATTGTAACGAGAATGAGAATGTCAGTATTTTAACCATGTTTAACTCTCTGAGCAGTCCAGGTTTTTGCATCTATCATGAAGACTTGTATTTAAAGAGCCTTTATTAGCTATATATATATATATATATATATATTTACGTATTATAGTCTGTATTTTCATAAACTTACATTCAACAAGATGGCATTTATATTATTAATGAAAGTAAGAAAACAAAATATTTTAAAATTATAAGCTGATATATAACAAGTGACAAAAAAAATCTCATGACCAGATAAAGCCGGTCATGGCACTCAAGAGGGTTAAAACTTTTTTTTTCAAATTTTGATCATAAATTTTTTTTATTTGAATTTTTATTAATATGTATTTTTTTAATTTCATCAAATAATTTGAGATTTTATGGTATGTTAGTCAATAATTAAAAACTAATGAGAAAAAATAAAGTAATGAATTAATAATAATTATTAAAGCTGGAATATTGAGTTCAACAATGATTGGTTCTAGTCCTTAGGTCATTATCAGAATTTGAAATACGGATGATAAATAATTTTTACTTGGCATTATGAATCGACCTATTGATGAAGATGATAAGCTAGCTAATTTTTAAATTCTAAAAGGTGTTATAGTTTATTAAAGTTCCTGCCAACTCTTTTTTTAGTCAGATGGCAACTTTACTCTTAAGAAAAAGATCCATCTCAGATATTTTTCATTTGAGTAAATTGAGTTACCAAGAGTGGCACTTGTACTGAAATAAAAAGTAATGTCAATTAGTCCCTGAAATTTAATACAGCATTTTTAATTCAATTAAGTTATATACGTGGAAAAAAATTATGCAGATTTTTACTTGTATGACAGAACTGATATTTTCCTGTGTGGTATTTTATGTAAACTGAATTTTCTTGCTGAATTTTTTGTTGTAACTTTTGGGGGTTTTGTCTAACTATTATTATTCATTCATGGTGAAATGTTTGACTCTTTTTTTTTTTCTTAGAATGATAGTATCATACCATATAAGTCAAACAACAATTATTTATTGAATTTATGAGGATTTCTTGAGTAAATTCCTGTTTTGAAGTTTGTAACAGTTCTAACTTTTTTGAATACATTATGTACAGAAGAAACTTGTCGGAAAGATGAATTTCTCTGCCACGATGGTATGTGCATACCTAACTCCTGGAAATGTGATATGAAGTGGGACTGTATTGATCGAAGTGATGAGCTCAATTGCAGTAAGTTTCTTTTGTGATTAAAATATTTTTCGTAGAAGTTTATTCAAGGGTTTAAAAATCATATTGGAGAAAAGTATACTAATATTTTTTTAATCAATTATTTTTTAATTAAAAAATCGTGAAAAAGTTAATGAAATTAATTTTTTAAATTTACTTTTTGAATGGGATGATAATGCATATCTTTAATAAAATTAATGTTTTTATGAACCAAAACATATGGTATTTAGATATTTATTTACATTTGAGTTTTGGAATAATTTTGGAAGGAAAGAAATATAAATTTCATTCTGTATCACATACTATTTCTCATTAATTTAAATATTGTTGTTCGTATGAAATTTGCTTTTGAGTTGATTTTAAGATTATGAAGCTTGTAGAAACCTTTTGAATATATGAGTGCATGTATTAATATAGTAACTTGGTTTTTTAAAAGAAAAGTTTTGTGCGGAAAAAGAACATTTCATATCTTATTTGTTATTTGTTGTAATAACATGTCCAGTTTTCTTCTTTCTGTATATGAGTATTTAAACATTAGTCCAATAAAAAGTCAAAATCTTTTAAATGCCGTCACTTTAATGCTCTCATTTTTATGAATAACTAAAAACTTTCAACTGGAATCTTATCGTAATGTATTAATGTTGTATGAAATGAAGTAATTGTATAGTTTGGCAGTTATTAAATTGTAACATCCCATAAAAACTTGGTATAAAATCTTTTCCTGCTGTAAAATAGAGTTGTTAAAAATGTAAATCATGTTGTAATCAAATTGCATTTTTTTGGGATCAGAAACTGTGTTTCAGTTTAAACGAATATATACAAATTTTTAATTGTTATTCAGAATTTTTGATAGGTAGGCAGATTAATTTTCAGCTCAAGTAACATACATTCAAACAGGGTTCGTACAGTCCTTAAGAGTCCTTAAAAGTTCTTAGATTTTTTGGAATCGATTTTTGGTCCTTAAAAGTCCTTAATTTTGGCCAAAATCAACAGAAGGTCCTTAATTTCTGTCTGTTTTTACGACTGTCATTTTGAGTGTGAATTAGCATTTTAAGTAATATTTTTGGCGATTCACTGCTGTATATATGGTAATCTTTTGAATGGGTTCATGAGTTATAATTTGTTTCTATTTCTAATATAAATGAAGGGATACTCGAGTTTCTAAGCAAGAAGTGAAACATAAGCATTTCAAAATTCATTTTTTCTAGTAAAGATCTCTTAAACAACTTTCTGCTTTTGGGAATGTGAATTCTTTTATTAAACGGTTCTAAATTTGGCGACTTTTCAACATTTAGACAATTTTAAGATTAGTTTCTATAGAAACTTTTTAATTCCAAAATGTGAGAATTTTTTGACGATTTTTTTTAAAACATCGTAACATTGATAAATTCTATTAAAATAATGGTAATATATTGAAATTATATTTAAAAATTAACATTAAAATAAAACATTTTTATTTATCGCTGTCATATTATAAAGTTTCATTTTGGCAACTTATTTAATGTTTTAAATCTGAAAAATAAACAAGGCATAATGCTTTAAAGCACAATTTACTAAACAGCTCTTAGCAAAAGCAAAATTAGCTATGTAATTAATTAAAAATGTCTTGTTTATAATTTTTTCATAGTAAGAGTTTTTCCCATCTAATTGTCTCAGAATATTCAAAATTCTCAGAATGTGCAGCAGCTTTCTCTATAAAATTAATTTTATACTTTTTCCCTCCTACTTTTTTCCAAAATATTTCTGGCATTTTTCTGTTACAGAAATGATAGGGATAATTTTTCTTTAGGATTTTAGACATTGCAGCTTAGAAAGTTTGGAAGGATTTGAATGCAAGATTTATAGACCCACGATTCTAGAAGATTCGAGAAATATGTGACAAAATGAAAAATGTCTTCATGTAAACACGTAGTGGATGTATTTTACAGAAAGTTTGCAATGAATTTCTTAATTTTGGGAGAACATCTGGAAGAACAATGAAAACATAATATTTGAATGTATTACTTCTGATACTAGAATCTTAACATGTTTATCTTCTCTTTATTTCCTCTTCTTTTCACTGGACAGAAGCATGGAAAATATCAAAAATGCTTCTGATCTTATCACATGGGCAGGCATTATAGAAAGGGATTTTTTAATTAATAAAGAAATTGAAAACTTAAATTTAAAAGATTCATCTAATATTTCTTAATGCATCATACACATAGCTGACACTAGGCATTTTCCCACCTGATGCAATCTCTGTGAATCCTAAATTCTGCTGCTTACTGACTTTCTAAATTCTGCTTCCAATGCTTGCTCTAAATTCTAAAAGTTTTGCCATTTCTAGATTTTGTTGTTCGGTGTGCCACTAAATTCTAGAAATTCTGCCACATCAGCTCTGTAACCGGGCTTTACTATATATATTTCATATTGTTTCTGAATGTTCATATTACTAAAGAAATAAAATTAGCTGCTTTTTCTGTACATTCTAAATGCATTTAGTGTTTTTTAGAATAACTGAAATCCTTAATTAAATCCAAAAATTCTAAAATGAAAAAGGAAACGTGTTGAAGAAAGAAACTGAGTACATAAAGGAAATTATTCTTCAAAGATATGTGCAGTTATTATTATGTAAATTACTCAATTTTTTATGATTTCAACCTTTACTATAATTTCCCATTTCTATTTCCTCATATGATAAGAGTTATTGAGCCAGATTAAATTGTATAATCTTTGACCACTAGTCCACATTATTAGTTTGAATTGGAGTGTTCTTGTTTAATTACATCACCGTGAGCTGTAATTGATTTTGTTAGCATCAGAGCATGCCTTTATGTTCTAAGTTCTTTTTAAATAAAACCTTTGTCCGATATTATAGTTAATTTCAGACATAGCGATAATATGCTTCACGTCTGTCGGGGGTTTTGGACTATCTAACTTTTACCAGATCAATTAAACCGTCATAGGTACATTATGGAGAGGTTGACAAGCAAGGAGATGAAGCAAGCAGAAACTAGTGAGAGCATTGCTTTGCATATTGAGACAAATCTCTAATTGTTAGAAAAGTTGCTTAAAAGAGAAGGAAATTGATATAAACGTTCAAATATGACCAACTATCATAAGTGTAAAATATTTAATGCTACTTGATAAATTGCATAATTTATTTTACTTTCAAACTTATTAACAATTATGTAAACTTATTAACAATTATTAATTATGTTAATTAATTCATGTTTAGTAATAATGTGTACTACTTAGGGATCTAGTTTATTTTTAGGATGGTATTACAAAAGTGAAATTCAGGCATAGATAATATCTTCAGTTGAATTTATTCAAATTCCGTTTGCTCATAGGTCCTTAATTTTCTTCATTAATGGTCCTTAAAAGTCCTTAAAAGTACTTAATTTCCGTGTGCAGAAATGTGTATGAACCCTGTCAAAGCTTAAATACATTAATAATATAGAAGTTTCTTTTATCTTTAATATGCACAAGTATAAGTTTATTTTCTTTAGATTCTTATATTACTATTCATTTATTAACCAGACCTCTAAACAATATTTTTGGGGAAATTTATTTATACATATTATTATTACTTTTTAGAAAATGTGACTTGCACAGACAGTGAACATCTTTGTGTATCTCAGGATCAGTGTATTCCCAATACATTTGTTTGTGATGAACATGTTGATTGTGAAGATCAGTCTGATGAAAGTGACTGTGGTATGATAAAATGAACACATTTTGTATTTTTATATGTTGAAAGCATTATTTGCTTCATATATATCTTCTTCTTCCATATTCTTATAGGGATTTTTATTTGATCTTTTTCATTTGTGATATTTTGAATATAATGATACAAATTGAAAATCACATTTAAATTTGTAGTATTTTTTGATTTATATGCTTTATCTATTGATAAGTTATTTTGAGAGTGAATTTTGCAATTCATTTTTTTATATGCAGTTTTAAGGTAGCAACTGTTTTTATTGTGATTTTTATAAAAAATTGGGAAACACTAAAAAAGATTGTACGTATTTGTATTGATCTAAAATATGGGTCATCAAGTGGACCCATTCCATATCAAGATATTTTATTTAAATGCTGTGTGGGGTTTTAAAATATTGACTAATTTGGTTTTGGAAGCTATAACATTTTATTATTTAGGCTAGTATAATCCTCCCCTCTTCTTAACATGATTAGAAGTAAGCTATTCACTAACCAGAGATTGGGTGATTGTTAATTGAGATAATTATATTTTTCTTGTGAAAGTTTTCTGCAACCATAGATAATATTGATCATATTATTTTTAAAGAAAACTTATTTTACTGTACATATTCAACACTCTTACTCACTTATTTTTTCTTCTCATTTTAATTTTTAATCAATTTCAAGGGAATATTTGGATATTTTGGTGAAAATTTAAAAATCATGACCATGGTGTTATTAATATATAATAATAATAATAAATGTAGTGAACCAAGGAAAATGTTCTTAGACAAAAAAAAATTAATTTATTTATTTTAAAAGGTAAACTTGTCACAGGTATTTAGTTGAACTTGAAGTTAATGAAAACTGAAAATACTTAATTAAAAATGTTATATTATTGCAAAAATATATGAAATGAACAATATAGTTTTGTACTTAACAGAAATTTATTGAAATTAATCCATTACATGGGTTTGTTTGAAAGCTTGCACTGTAAGCATTTTTTTTTCACATGACTATTTAAGTCACAGATGATTAAAGTCATTCACTGTCACCAACAGTTATAAAAAGTTTTTATAATTAGAGATGTATTTTAAAACATCTGTGTAGTTTTATATGTCATGCTTTTCATATGGCTCTTCTTGATCTTTCTCACTGTTTTCTAAACTGTTTTCGTTAAAGCTCACATTATCAGCTACAGTGAAATGAAAGATGTTATGTCATCATTGGTGCTTTCCATACTAGAGTTTTTATCTGTTTCTAAATATTCTTGCACTTTAGCACTACCACTGATTTTGACAAACAATTTCTTTTCATTAATATTTTCAACAAGGGCACTTGGAAGTGGCATTTCGCAGCCAGCTATCTTAAAACAGTGCTGAAAACAAATTTGTGATATGTATTTAACATGCTTTGTTATTCACTGAATAGCATTCAATACATTGACACATTTTTCAGGCTGCTTCCTGGTTCCACAAGCAGTTTGACGAAGAATGAGTTGTAAAGCATTTTTCTATAAGGATCCATGAAGCTTCTAATTATACCTTAGTCCTAAGACTGTAATACTGATGTTGCATTAAGGGAAAAACACTAATTTCAGTTTTATATTTGGTGTGTGGGCTGGCAAATTATCAAGAAAATGCTGTATCTTCTTATTTTTTTAGACACTGTTTTATCAAGAGCAATAAATTAATATTAATAATATTATGCTTTGTTTTATCCATGCCTTTTTATTGTTATTCCAGTGGGACAGATAAAGCTTTTAAATTAATGTATGTGAAGTATTTTGGTTTTTTTTCCCCCTTTTCTTTCCAATTACAAGTGGGTGCTTAAATTCTTCTATGTTACAGCAAAATAACATAGGAAGACATTCCTTGGAGCCTTGCCACCAGGGCACTTCTCTCCTTTGAAGCATAGAGTTTTATTAGGCAAAATTAAATAAAATAATCCGGTTTCTTCTGCATTATAGAGGTTTTCAGCCTTATATCCCTTGCAAATTTCATTTAGCTTTACTATCCAGTCTGTTACATGATGCATTTCTATTGAACTTTCTACCCCACAAATGGTCTTAACACTTTGACGCACGGTGGTCGCGCCTTGAAACCACCAATTTTCAAATTTTTTTTTTTTTCGTTTTCCTTTCGAAATTTTTGAGTGAAAATCAATTGATTACTGATCTTTTACCTCTAAATAACACAAAATGACTACAGAATCATACATGTTTTAGGTCTTAGTACTTCAAATCAGATGCCTTTTAACATTCGTTTTCAGTGAGACAAAATAACTTCTTTTATTAATACATACCACTTTAAATTTCAAAAGTTTTTCATTGCACATCATTATTTCTATCATAAACTATAAAAAATAGCAATAATTAAACTGCATATATATATATATATATATATAAAAAAAAAAAAAATCCTGTATATGTATAGCATTTGCTTTGTGGTTTCAGGGCGCTACCACTGCCCCACTAGAGCATTGTGTCACAATGCTCTAGAGGCTCGGTGGTCGCGCCTTGAATCAACTGCTCTTCACAATGGTGTTTGCTTGCTTCTCAAATGGGAATGTTCATTTTTACCCAGATATAAATAAGGGGTTTTAAAATCACAGAGTTATTTTATTACTAAACAATACATGCACCTGCCCAATAAAAAGGGTCTTTCTTTTACAGACTTTTCTCTGACCTCAACACACTTGCTCCCCAAGCTAGCATTGTGATTTTAAAAATTATTTCCTGTGGTTTAAATTTAATGTAAATATACTTTGCTGTAATTAAAAATAGAAATCGCGTAAAGTTTTATTTAAATTAAAAATATTTTCTGAATATTTTGAGACAAAATACGAATAAAATAAGTATGAATGGGAAATGAATGATCTGTACCAAAACCAAAAAGACCAAGCACCCTCCCCCCCACATTAACATAAAAACCCCACAAATTTCATGTGCCAAATGAAAAGAAACTAAATAACGCTGGACATATACCAATGAAATTTAGATCCAATCAGTGTACATTTTGTAGCACAAAGAAGATACATGTACGAAACGTGCAATGTGGGTCCATGCTTGTACCAAAAAGACAAAACATGCTTTGAACAGTGTAACAAAAAATATTTGTTCTTTGAAATAATAATAAAAAAAAAAACACTGAGTCTTTTTTTTTTATCCTTATTTTACTGAGTTTTTTAATCCATGTAACCAAACATCCTTATTATGTAAGTACTTATACTTTTGCTGCTATAGAAAAATTACGTAAATGTTTATTTTTTTGTTTTTCCTGATGATTTAGTTTGAAAAATAATGTAAAAAATATATATATTATGCAATTCTTACATGCATTTTTTTAAAAATTCGTAAATTTCATCATTTATTTTAAACGTGCACGGAAAAGGGTACGTTTTCTCCCCCTGCTACCTAGATAAGTTTCAAAGTCGTAGACGCGCGGTGGTTTCACAGTGCGACCACCACCCACAAAACAATGGGCAAGAGTAGATTTCTTAAAATTCATATATTATTTGTCTCTAGGATCATAATATTCAATTTCTAGAGTTTTTAGTTAAAAAAATTATAGAAATATTACCGTGCACGTCAAATGGTTAAAAGTAATGTTGTGTTTTTGCTTAACTTAGTCTACCAACCATTTGATGAAGTTCTGTAGTCCTAGACTTCCTGAAAATTTCTTGCTTTTTCTTGCAATATTACTCCACTTAAGGAATGCTTCTTATAGAACAAAACCAATTGAACGCTACTGTATCAATTTCACATGCCTCAGTATTTATAAACTTTAAGAGGAAGAGATTGTTCATTTTAATTAGTAATCCATAATATTTTTATTTCTTCTCTATCTTTCAGCATGTGACTGTCAACACAATTTAACTTTCTCTAAGTCACAAAACTATCTTTCATATTAGAAGCATACTTGTCTTTAAAACTCAAAAGCTTATATTTCCCTATCTCTGTCTTATTTTTGACACATTTTTTCAGTCTCCCTGTATGAGAGGTAAATACGTTAAGATCCCTATTCAAAGGGACCGGGACCAACATAATTGTTCCTTAAATAGAGGTGTCCCATATAGGAGGTACTACTGTATTTATGTACATGTGTGCATACATACATATATACACACACTGTATGTCTATATATCAGGTTTTAATGAAAGTTTCCCAGTCATTTGCGGAAACAGTTTGCATTGGCATGTTTAATCATATTTTTTCAAACGATTTTTGGCATTTGAAAGAAAGAGAGTTGCTTTAGAACACTGTGTTGTGATATTTGGGAAAAAAAATTGTTATGATTAAGTACGAAGTGTCTGAAATGGAACTATCATGCTACCAGATTAGAACCATAATTTACTTCCAGTTCTGTTGGTAAAGTCAGCTACAGAATGTCAGTAAATCATGTGTATAGCTTTCGATACTAATGTTGTATCATATGACACTGTGAAGGTTTGGTACCAAAAGTTCAAAACCAAAGACTATGACATTCAAAAAGCAAGGCACTCTGGCCGTCCTACTGATGTTGATGAGGTCCACCTGCAAGAACTTGTGGAAAAAAATCAGTAAGCAACCATTTAAGAGCTTGCTAAGAACTCAGACGTTAGTGCCATGTCCATTAGTTTTGCTATGCATTCTATAAACTTGACATACAAGTTTAATTGCTGGGTACTACCGCATAAGCTGATTCTAGCAGATAAGGGCAGATGGGTTCGGGCCTGCCGTAATCTGCTTGAATATCAACACAAGGACAAAATTCTCGACTGGATCATCACTTGTAATGATAAGTGGATTTGCTTCAACCGCACAGGCCATAAAGGGTGTTGGTCTGTGCTCGGTGAGCGCATGGGTGGCATTGCAAAGCGCAGTTTCACTAACAAAAAGATCATGCTTTGTACCTGGCAGGATTGCCATGGTATTATCCACAAAGAGTATCCAGAAAAATGTAAAAACCTTGACAGTAAGGTGTACAGCAAGATACTATCAAGGAACACTGCTATCAAGGTATCATATGTTGACACTGCTATCAAGGAAAAATGTTGGACTGAGTTCCGGCCCAAAAAGGTAATGTTCTATCAAGGTAATGCAAAACACATTCTGAGCACTATCTGCATTCACCGGCTGGACTCTATATGGACTCGAATGGGATCTTTTGCCACACCCACCATATAGCTCCTTACCTTGCTTGTGCTATCTACCATTCTGCACAGAACGTCCGAAATGAGGTTAATCTGTTTTCGGACTCGCTACCACCAGGTGTCTGGGCCAAAGGCTTTCAAGAAACTATCATAGCGTTGGCAGGAAATCATAGATTTGGGTGGTGATTATTACCTTTACTGAAGGTACTGCTTTCATTTTTTTAAACTTTATTGGGTCTGTTTTTTGGCAGAAATCTTTTGTTAAACCAAACATATGTATATACATACAGAAGTATGCAATGTAAATTTCTGTTCCATCGTAATAGATATCACCATTTTTGCAGCTTTTGAAGAAGAAGAAAGGGTCAGTATTTCCTTTTACAATATGATAGAGTGTTATAAATTCATGTTATAAGCATAATGCACTAACTTTGGAAAAATCATGCTCCATTTCATTTGAAGCATGGGGTGATTCACTTCCCTGTATCCAACAGTTATGATCTTTCATGCTATACATAAATGAACTGTTGATTTTGAAATACACAGTTTTTGCTTTCATTAAGAACATTTTTTTTTTCATTGAGGAAAACTATCATGCACTTGGTAAACTGTCTCACTGCTCTTTCATGATGCCAAAGTAAACATTATCAATTTCTTTAAATGTAAATATACATAAACAATTTCCATTATAAACATTACTAATTTCTTTAAATGTTTTATCCATCATTTAATTGAATTGGATGACAGAAGGTTAGAATATTGTTCTATATAGTGCCTTCTTTGAACTTTAATGAGATAATTTAATTTTAGAAGCCATAATATGTATTTAACATTTTTTGTACAAATGCTATAACTTATATGCCATACAAAGCTTCAAGTATAAATTTCTGGATAAAACAACTCAGCAAATAAAAACTTTTCAAAAGCATATTAGTATGCTTAAGGCAAGGAAAAAAGCCAGTAATAATAATAATAATAATAATAATAATAATAATAATAATAATAATAATAAATCATTTTGAAATTTGTCCAATAATTTTCAGCCAGTCTATATTTTGTGAAAGTCAATAAAAAGTAGAAGAGCATGTTCTTGATGACTTTTATAGTTCTTGATGACTTGAGTTTTTAAATAACATCATTTCAAAGTAGGTTCTTTAATAGTGATGTAGCTTTCTGTTTTCCTTAATTATTTATTAAAAATAATCCTACAGTGAATTTTTAAATACATTTAATTTAACATTCATCCTCAGCTTTGGTTACAAGAATTTCATCTTTCAACTTTTTTTTTTTATGTGAAATTAATGTAATACACTTTTTAAAATATATTTTTATTTATAGTAAACTTTTTCTGCAATTCCTTTTAAAATGATGAATTGCTGTTTACATTTTATCACTTTTGGAGTGATAATTTTTTATTAGTATGGCGTATTCCTTATTACTACGTTTTATTATATCAGTCCATGACAAATGCAATAATTATCCTTTAAAAATAATATTCTTATATTTTTTTTTCTTTGAAAGCACATGAACATCATTAAAATCTACTGTTTTAACTTAACATGAAAAAAATTAAGTTTTTTTTTTTTTTTTTTTTTTTTTTTTTTTTTTTATTAACGAAAATGGAATGTGCATGTAAAATCTTTTGAAACGTTATTAAGGCATTAAGTGGTGAAGCACTTTTGTTAATTTAATTAAAAGTTATGGGCTTTTAAAAAAGAGAAAAGATTTTGACAAATAACACAAATAATAATAATTAAATAAGTACAACACATTTAAAATCTAAAATCATAAAGTAACACTAAAGAAAATAAGGATAAGATAAGTATACAAGCCACATAAAATGAAATAACATAAAAGATGCGCTGGAAGCTTTAGAAGTTGTAATGGTGACAATGATGGCATTATGCTGAATGGTCGAAGATTTGGTAGTGGAAGACACTGGCACTAAGAAAAAGAAAAAAGATGAAATTTCCCATCATTATCTTACCATTGCTTCTATTTGTTAAGTCACTGCTTCTATAGTTCTGTCCCTGCCTGGTAAAGTATCAAAAGCTAAGTTTTGTTGCATGGTGTTTCTGATGTAAAAGGCTTGAAATGCAGCAGCAGCATTGTAGATTGCTTAGAATGACCCTATTATATAGTTCTTATAGGTATTAAAATAGCCTACAAGATTTCCCTAAATTATTGTTTCAGAATAAAAGTAATGTTTTTTTTACAGTCATTTAATGAAGCAGACATTGAATGATGTTCTGGCTTTTCATAGAAGCAAAATTTACACTTCTTTCATAGGAGAAATGAGTTCTTTTCATAAAAAGAAAGTAGCGTAAAATTTAATATTTATAAAACGTACCTACTATAATTATTTTATTTTTCTAATTGATGTTTGTTAAATTCTAAAAAAGTGGTATATTTTATTTATTTATTTGTTATTTAGATGAGAAAATTCATTCCTGTGTTTTTCCAAATCATCTGTGTGACAATAAGACACGCTGCATAAATGTAACACAGTTCTGCGACAAAGTCAATGATTGTATTGATGAATCTGATGAAGGAGGCATGTGTGGTAAGTTAGGTTTTTAAGACTTTTACAATCTGCATTCTGTATTTTCTTTACTTCTTATACATGTTTGGAGCAGCCATGGCCAAACTGCTGCTAGTAAGTTGCATGTGGTTCTTTGTTTTCTTAAATGTGGTTTGTATTGTGATAAATAATAGTCCGATTTTTTAAAAATATTATTTTAAATAGAAAGCGTACTATGATATGCTTTGCAACTGGTAATTTAATTTTTAAATTATGTATATAAAAATTTTAAACTTTCTATCGAAAAATATCATTTGTATAGCATCTAGAAACTATGATTTTGTTATCATTGTCATTTTCATTACACTTTTGAATCAGTCTCTTACAAAAGAAAAGTTTAAACTTTTATATAATGCTTAATAATGGTCTGAAATCTGTGGTACAGGTATCGCATTAGTAGGCATGAAGCACGATTCGACTATGAAAAGATTTTCAGTGGGAGGTGCAGTTTTCAAGAGCTATTAAAATTTGTCTGTTTTTCATGAATAGTGTTCTGTCCAGCTTCCAGAAATTTCCTCCCTCTTCCCCCATTTTAAATTATTGTTATATTCAGTAGGTGCAGTTTTGGCATTTTTCATGCAACATGATTGTTTAGGTTTTCCTACAAAAGGTATTATTTTTTCCTGTGGTGAGTGTATCAGCTTAAAAAAGAATAATCATTCATTGCTCTTTTCTCCACAGCTGCAACTTTCTCCTATAAAAGCTTTAATTTTTTTAGGAAATAATTCATAATATAGTTCCATTTTATCACAACTGAAACTTGCTTTTTTATAATGTTGTAATTTTCCTTCTAAAGCATTTTCTCTCCCATAGAATATGCTTTCTTGAAAAATATTCCACTTTTCACCACATACTAATCTAAAGGCAATGTTATGGTGGTGATGTTTCAAATAAACCAGCTACTGATTGCTGTAAATACATTGCTTCCATTCTTTTAGCAAATTTCTTAGACTGTTTCTGGATGATTAGACTCGAAAAAGGAAGCACACATTCATGAACAGATTAACCCATTAACCGCCAAAACTACAAGGAATGATTCTTTTCTCATGAAAGTAATAACAAATATTAAATTAAGCATTTATAACAAAAATTTATATTGAAAATAAAAAAAAAAAAAAAAAAAAATTGCTGGAGTATGACTATGGATGTTTAGTGAGTAGCATTGTACTTGTGCGATGTTTCCTTTGAGTGGGGCACTAGATTACTTTTTAGCTGTATAATGTTTTATAAATCTACAATTCACTCTACTTGTAATTAATTAAATATTAAAATATAAATTATATTTCTTTTACAAATACAGATTATTTCAATTGAAAGATTCAAGCATAAAAAGCTTCACTACAATCATGATGTAAAGCTAGCTACATTACATACTTTGAATCTATAAACAGTCTGGCTATGGCACTCTTTACAATGAAGTCTTTGTTATCATCAGATTTTACGATAAAATGTCTACCATTGCCATGCAGTGTTTTTTTAATGTAGAATTTACTAGGTCTTCCTGTTGCTGATCTATTTCTGGCTAATTCTACACTCTCAATAGGAGTTTGCAAAAGGAATAATGCGATTTCGCGTCTGAAATCTAAAAAGAGACTTTTTATTTCCAGTAGTAAAAGGTTGTGATATTTTCCATGCATTTATACAGGCTACATCAATGTAATTAGTAAATATTGGCCACCACAATTTTTTGCCACGAACTCTTATTCTGTAATTGGCTACTAAATTGTCACATAAATCGACTCCACCCATTTGGCATTGTATTGTTCAATAAGATGAGGCTGAGATATAAAAATGTTTTTCCTTTGTGTTTTTGAATAACGGGTGACATTTTTTATGGGCTGAATCTTTCCAAATGTTGAACCAACAGTTACAACGGAATTATTGTTTCATCGGGCAAAAATTATTTTTTTTCTCTTCACATTGGAAATCATAATAACCTCTTTCTTTCTTATGGACACATTTCACAGTTTCTAGTAGGCACATTTTTATGCAGTTTTCCTGAATTTTTCCTGTAGCACTGAAACCTTTATTTTTTAGATGTCAGAGAAGCTGAAATGATGTAAAAAAGTTATTAAAATAAATAGCATGATTGGCGGGAGTTTCAACAACACTGAGCAAATTTATCATCACACTTCCTCCAAGCCCAAATTCTTCATATTCTGGTAGTTTTGGAGCTGTCCACTTACCTGAATAAATATCGAAATAAAAAACACATATCCATCAGATGACGCCAGAGTCCATGCTTTGTATTCAAATCCTTATAGGTTTCCCTTTTAAAAACATCTTTACTGAATGTTTGCCTTGATAAGGAATCATTTGCTCATCAATACTCAGATCTTGGGAAAATATACCAAATTGTTGAAATTTCTTATTTAGTAAATTTAGATACGGTTTCATCTTATATAATTTATCAGTATTGTCAGTTTGACTATTGTCAGCTAAATTCTGCTTGATGTATATATATATACTGCAAATGTGACATCGATTCTCGTACAATAGAAACAGAAATGTCCTTATCAAGAGACCATACGTCTCTTCTTGGCGTAAAGAATAATATCCCGTAAGCAATAATATTCCAATAAATCTTCTCATATAGTTTCAGATGCAATAAATTCTAGGCAATTTTTTTTTTTTTTCTGAGCGTATATATATGTCTGTTCAACGAGAAAAGAGTAAATGTCTGAACCATCAAAAATCTCTCCACTAGTTTTACCTTATATTTTGTCTTTTATAGTTTTCTATCTGTTTCTTCATTTTCTTCCTGAGACATAACTGACGGTTCCTTTTATATCCATTTCAAGTTTTCAGTTTTCTGATTTTTAAACTTTTTCGTATGACTACCACTGCTTTTAGAAGGCTGAAACTTACTTCTTACGTGAATTTCAACTTCCCCAGCAGTATCATTGTGGTAAAATATCATTATCATTATTTAAAACATTGTCATTCCCTTCTTCTTCATCACTAGCTTCTGCAATTTCTGGGAGAAAACAACAATATCAGTTTAATTCTGGTCATTATTAACATTATCGTCATGTTTCTTCATTAAAAAAATCTTTGAAGGGCTTGTTCTAATGTAAGATACATGTTTAAAGCAGCCAGAACATGAACCAGAACATCGAAAGGAATGAGTAAAAAAGGAGATTACCCATTTCCTGCTGACGTTGCGTCAGCGCGACTGTTTTCCCTTCCTTCCCAACACAAATATAAACATGCAATTGATGTAATGTTCTGATAAACGGTGACCTTGACTAAAAATAGATCACTCATAAAGAAGGTGATTCTTTTGTTAAATATTTTTGGCAAAAATCCCTGGTCGAAAATTTTGCTTAAAATATGAGATTAATTATTATAAACAAAATGATTGTTGAAGGCAAATATTTTTTATAAAAATAATCTTCATAATATTTCCTATACAAAATCATCTGCTGGTATAATATATCGTAGGTAGTTCTATTTATATACGCATTTATTTTGACCATTGCGTCAACGCAACACCAGTCGCTAATGGGTTAAAAAAATGAATAAAGTCTTTTTTTTTTTTGTAGCAATTTTTTTATCGTTCTAATGTTTCAAAGGTCTTTTCTTTATTTTGCACAGATATAGCAATAGTCGTCCAGGAAATGCCATATTCCTTTACAAAACTACCTTACCTTGAAGATTTTTATAATTTCAATTTTAATTTTCACTGATAATCACTGAAGCTTACAATATAGCCTTTTCCATATGAAAATCAATTTTGGAAAGGTGAAGTCATTTAACAGATTTCTGTTCAAGATTGCATTTGCAAAATGAAAGCCATTTGCTTTTAAAAGAATCGGAAAATCTGTTTATATTTTCCCGTGAGATATTGCAAAGCTTATAATGTTTGAAAGATAATTCTTTCTTGGAATATGTGTAGCATTTCTATTACTCAGAGAAAGAACCTTTGTTTAAAAAGCAGACAAATTTATGCCAATTTCAGTAGTTATTCTCTTTGCATTGTCAAATTAGTGGAGTTTCTTCCCACAGTGTAAAATATAACCTAAACAAAATCTTCAGAGTTATCTGAAAAGTCAACTTATCTAAGATAAGTTTATATAATAAGGTTTTGCTGTACTGCATTTCTTGGAATGAAAGAAGTGTTACTAAGGGCAGCTCTCAAATTGCAATGTATCGTACCATTAAGCCGGGATGGTGCTAAGGAGAGTAAAATAATTAATGTAATTCTTTGTCCAGCATTATCCAGCAACGGCTGATGCAATTCATCTCAGTCCTCTGTCAGTGTACGGACAGGGATGTTTAGGTGTATTGGAGGATATTTCTGATGAACAAGTCGCTGTTCTAAAGCATTCCACACATTTTCAGTGGAGTAGATCTAGAGAATGTGCTAAACATACAGTCTATATTCTGTGCTTGTCTGAGCAGTTAGTGCATGATGTGTTGTTGTGGATGAAAAGAAATTTATCATTGAAAGCATCGTGGAAAATGCAAACTGGAAGCAGTAGAACTTCATCAATGTATCTTTGGGAAGTCTCACATGTAGGGGGGCATGCAGCCATTGATCATGATACTGCATCTCAAATGTCAGGTCCTTTAATGTATATTTTCTGTATAATAAGCAATACTACTGTCATTCCAGATCAACTGGCATCTACCTTGTGATGACAGATTAAAACTACTGTCATCTAAGAAGAGTACTCAAGCTCAGTCCTGTTCGATGCAGTTGTGATGGTCGTGATGACCTCTCTTCCCCTAACACAAACCTCTCAAGAAGATCATGATTTTGGCATACGTTGTGAGTGTCCTCTTTACCACACAGACTGTATACACTCACAAACATCTTTCTCCAATATTTGAATGTGGGCTCTTCAGTATGGCAATCAGCATCATTAACCACTCTTCCCACCTGGGCAGAATTGCTTTCATGAGCTGTGAAACAATGCTTTGGGTGATGTTGAACTTCCTGGCAACATCTGTTATTTTTCAGGCTTCTTTAGTCTTTCCAGTGATATGGCCAGTGATTTAAGTGATGTCAGGAAGACATACTGAAACTTTCAAGACCGTCAGTTGAATCTTTCCTGTAAAACTGTTGCTTTATATAACTGTCTGCATGTGTTAAATCCTTTAAATCTTATATCAGCACTGTCATTTTATGAACAGATGAGAAATGAAAATTTGCATGCACACACCTCCTGTATCCCACTCTTATTCTGACTTTCCACATTTTACTTACTTCATTTTGTGATTGCTGTGGATGATTGTGTTAACTGTCTTGACTGGTTAATGATGTAAAATTTACTGGCAATACTCATGTACATCTCTGCATTTTCATGCCTTAATTTTTTTCGTTTTTACTAATTAACATTTCACAAGACTTGGTGATAAAATTAAGCAATTGCAATCCAATAAAATTATTACCTGATTTAATATTATTAGTAAAATCTATTTGTGGCAAACTTCTTATTCCCAAAAAAAACTTAATATCTTCACTAGAGTGTTAGATGATGATTTGAGATTGTCTAATTTAAACTGAATTGCAAACAAAAATTTGTGCAAGATTTATAAAAGAGATATATTTCTGTTCAAAAATAATTTGTAGAACATTTAAAAAAGTGTCTTCTGATAAATATTGCAGTAAATGTCTGTTCTTTTGTTTAGGAAGGCCTTAATCCATTGACTTTTCAATATTAAACTTGTCAGACTGTTTTATTGTGTTGTTTTACAGCTAACTAATATAGCATATCTCAGTATGAGCATGCATATTTCATATAGTGGAAATATTGAGACTTATCTCATTTCATCTTGTCTGATAATAACATCAGATCAAGTAAAAATTTTATCTTCACTAAAAGCACAGGTTTGTGCCAGCCATTGGCTTAGGCTTTGAGCACCTGATAGATGACAGAATTTGCCTAATTTCATCCCAATTTTGAAAGAGAATCTTTTGGAGGAATGCTTCTCTCCCATCCTCTTCTTTTTTTTCACCAATCTCTCTAGAAAAGTGTTTGCATCCTGTGAAAACAAGTATATAGTTATAAACCTCCATGTTATTTGCAGGATTCAAACATGGGTTAATAAATTTTACTATTAGTTGTTATTTTTAATCTTCTTATTGACATTAATTAATTTTAAAAAGCACCTATTAACCTTTTAATGGGGAAAGATTATTAGTTTAGTGCAGTTTTCAATATGGTTAAAAACATTTAATATGTAGTGAGAATTTCTTTAAATAATATTTTAATTGTTAATTTAATTTTGGCTTTCATGTTTAAATTTTGCTATTATTTGAGTTAAAAAATTTTCTGAGTGTAACAGTTATGATCCAGTAATTTTCCAAATACCTCTTTTTTTTTTTTTTTTTTTTTTTTTTTTTTTTTTTTTTTTTTTTTTAGATTTAGCAAAACGCTATAACTATGAGTTGGCTTGCAGGACATAAGTTGCATCAGTAGACTGAATTTTTATTTGGTGGACATGTGATTTAGGGAAAAAATGTAGAATTTATAGAGTGCTCAAATTTTATCCCTCTGATATTTATTTACTTGAAAAATTAGTTTACCATTTTACAGAAACAATTGTAGCATATTTTAATGGTTTTTCTGGCTGTTGAAAAATAAAAATAAATGAACAAATAAATAAAACTTTCTTTGAATTGAAATACTGATGATGAAAAATTATTGATGCTGCTATTAAGGTGGAGTGACCTGAAATAAAGTGTTGAAATTTAATTTCACATAGAAAACTGCTGTTGAGATGTTACAAAAGCTGTTTATTAGTTGTCTGAATTTTTCAATACAGTCAAAAGTCTTTAATCCGGACTCATCGGAACTTCGCCGACTTTGGATTATCGATTTTTTTGGATTATAGATCATCAGTTTAAATCTGGTAAGATGGCATGCAGAAATTATAAAATTAAAAACATGAAACCATAATTTATGAAATAAAGAGCAATTATGATCTAAAAAGTATCAAAATTTACAAAAAAAAAAAAAAAAAAAAAAAAAAAAAAAAGCATAATATTTATTTGTTTACTTTATTAAACATTTCTTTAAACGCGCACATGCATAAAGCATACATTATGCGTAGTCAAAATCAGAAAATTGCAACCAGAAAACTATTTATTTGATTTGTATTTGTAATATTTATAATGACGAGGAATTTGATTTAAATTGTATCAAAGACAGAGTACATCAAGATGAAATACTACATTATAAGCCGAATAAAATAAAAACATCTGCCCTGAAGATAAGGATAGTGCTGACAGATCAACTTCAGATCAAGTTCATTGCGTGCCGCGACGCCCCCCCCCCTTGTGCAGAGCAGCATGAAATTGATAAACAGATTTCGGAATAATTAGAGAAACAAAGGAGCCTTTGTCCATTTTTTACAGCAATTCCACTTTTTGTTTCATGGACATTGAAACATGCTTTCCCTTTGTAGATCCAGCATCGGAAATTCTATTTGACATAACCGAAAGTTCCAACTTTAGATAATTTTAGCTTAGCGCATACCTTCCATTATACATTAAGCATGCATGCATAAACGTATTATGCACAAACATAAAACTATGCATACATGCATATGCGTACATGCATATGCGCATGCGTAAAGGTATTACGTGCATGCGTTGCGTTGACGCATGCTCAGAAAATTTGTAGCTTTGAGGTCCGGATTATAGATCATTCCGGATTATGGGTGTCATGCATTCCGTTTAAAATGTCTGATTTATCAGTTAAAAGTTGTTAAATTCAAGCTAACTACATAGATATAAAATTGGATTAATGAGTTGAAAAAAATCATAGAAATGATTTAAATTTAATTAATTTAGATAAATTAATTTTCTACATTTCTGAAGTTTGATTTCTGATTATGTATTTTTTTATAGATTATGATATGTGTGCATTAAGTGGTTGTAAGTATGAATGCCAGGAAACACCAGAGGGTCACCTCTGCTATTGTCCTACAGGCCTTACTCGAACAGTGGATGGCAATTCTTGCACAGGTTGTCTTATAGTAACGTTTTTAATTATTGCTACAAATATAATGCTCTTCCAATTTTTTTTCAATATTATAGCTGGAAAACTATATTGTTTGTTATGTTTTATATATATTTTTAAAATTTTCATATAATAAAAATTTTTATATTGCTACTTTTAATATGAAAATTATATGAATCTCAGGGTGGTTACTTTTTGAAGAAAAATGAATTTTGGTCATTCATTATTAAAAATTTGAAGTTTTTTTTATGATTATTTTATAATTGAATTAATGCAACCAGTAAGAGGCAAGAATAACTCAAGTTGATTTTTATTTTAAACAGGCCAAATTTTACATATATGTGATTGTTTTGTAAACATAAATAATATATTACTATCTTGAACCTACTGCATTTTGAGAAAGTGATCCAGAGAATAGTCATGTGGACTTAACATCAGAACAAATAAGTAATTATAATCATCAGACCCTGGAATCATAGATGTGAAATTTGATGCACTAGTACATCATGGACACATTGAAAGAAACACTGATGAGCTGATGACAAATTTAAACAGGGAAGCAGGAAATGTTACCATAAGACACCTTGAACTTGTTCCACTTTGACAGAGCAAACTGCTAACTTACTGCGACTAAGTGAGCTCCTGTTACATCTATGGGTAGTCAGACTTACACTGGAGTTTTCAGTTCGCCTTTATGACACCACTTTTGAAATTTTTTATCTTTTCTTAGATTTTATGTGAATTTTATCATGAATTTATGATGTAAAAGTGTTTTTAAAGGTCAGTGAATGATTTTATTTTATTTCTTTTTCCAGAAATTCCAGCATGTGAGCAGTGGGGTGTATGTAGCCAAAAATGTGTGGAGATAAATCACCACCACAAATGCTATTGTGAACCCGGCTATGAATTAGAACCTGATCTATACACTTGCAAAAGCATAGGTAAATTGATTGTTTCCAAAGTACTTGAAAATCAATTGCAGTATTTCCCATAATAAAAGCTCAGTGTATAACTGGTTTAAGATGCAGTATATATTGGTACAAGGGTATTACTTAAAACTACTTGTAAGTAATGCACTATGTGTTTAACAACAGAAGTAGTCAAATAATCGCTAAGGAAAGTTAATATTCTTATGAATTCAAAATGAAGAGAAAGAGCATACTAGAGTGGGGGAATGTTGCCTTCAGACTAGTTGGTATTAGAAAACATTGAGACAGTATCTTGAAGTCATTATATTGATTAACTTGAAACCATGCAGTTATCTTAAAACAAAATGTTAATTAACCTCCTAAAACCAGCGGTACAGCAGTTGTACCAGGAAAATGACTTTCTTTAGTGCCGGCTGTGGTACAACTGTCGTACCAGTCATCCCCTCCCTATTTTAGAGAATTGCCTATCTGTAGATCTCTAAGTGGTCTATTGTTGCTGCTCAGAATAGCCGCTGGCTATGCATTGTTTTCCTCTTCTTATCAGTTTGGCTACATTTTGGCAAAACCCACAGGTTTCGTCTCGCGCCAATATACTTGAAAATCAAATAGAAGCCATCTCTCTCTCAAACGTTTGAGCACTTTCTAATAATTTTAGTGCTAACTTTTTGGTACTACATTTGCTATGATTAAAACATCAGCGATTTTGCACGCTGTTTAAACTTACCAGATTTAATGCTTTTTAATCATAGCAAATAAGATTAGATTAATATTTTAGATTTAATGCCCTTCTAGAAAATATGTAAATCTGCTTTTATCGTTTATTTCCTTTTTATACGCATGAATAGTAAGATGTTATTTTTGACCCTTTTTTTGGGGGAGTGCATAAAACCCTTAAAAAGTGTTAACTTTTTCAAAGTGCTTCTATTATGTAGGCATTTTTTTCTGATTTATCAGGAGATAAATAAGAGACAACTGCATGCATAATTGTTTTTGTGATTTTCTTTCATTCAATGATTGATTTCAATGATTTCAATCAATGATTGCTTTGAATGATTTTCATTCATTGTTAATTAAATAAAACCAATTTATCTTTAGACCCTCTCTTAGGATGGCATCTACCAAAAAGTATTTAAATATCATTAAAGCTCCTGTAACTTCTACTAAATTGAATCAAAACATCAGTTACTTTGCATAAAATCTTATACTCCTCAAGAAATAAAGGGAATTCAGACAAGTTAATAAAAAATTTATCTTTAAAACAGGAATGTTATTTTGTCTGTATTAAGGTGTATGTCAACTTACTATTAAATGTATGAGAATTAGGATTGGATTACGGAAACGCACGTGCACGCTATCTGCTTAAGGGGATGGATGCTTTTGTGTAAACCTTTTTAAGAGAAAATTGCTCGCATTTAAGTTCCTGATGGGAAACTCGACATGTAATCAACCTATTCTCCGGGTTTGATTGGATTAATTTTGTTCGCTTACTGAATTATATCAAAGTACACAACAATTACTGTATAAAGGGAGGGATGCCTTCGTGGAGGTCTTTCTAAGGGAAGCTGGCTTGTATTTACGTTACACAAAAACCATGAATCCAACCCTTTAGCCGGGATTCAAACCCGAGCCAGCTACAAGTGTTCAGCCACCTTTACTGCTCTACTGAAGGGCCCATAAAAAAATTGATAAAGAAAAAGTATTGAAATAACCGGCTTAATTTACTAACCTATATTTCTCAATTGACAGTACATAAATTAGGCATATGAGGGGAATATTTGTGAATAAATAAGCTGTATTGCACTAATCTCCACTATTCCATATTATGATGGAATTATTGCATTTCAAAGTGATTTCTCATGAATTAAGTTTGTCCTTTCATGATTTTTTCTTTTTCAAAGAGAAAATTTCGTACTTTAAATAAAAAATACACGAGAAGATACTTTATGGAGAATTTGGCAGAAACAGTTTTCTTAATATTGCTTTGAAAATATTCCAGGGCAATAGTTTTCATTACTGGAAGAAATATGAAAAACAGATTTACTACATTGTAAGTGTCAACACCCAGTATGTCTTTATTCTTTTGAAAACGTGAAAGATTACTCTTTCTAAAATAAATTAGAAAATATATCATGTGCAAATAGAATATTCGTTGAAAATGAAGTAGACTTCAACCTTTGGATATAATGATGGTTTTAGGTGAAATTTCTGCCTATGAAAGGACATTGACATATAATTCTTGATAAACATTTAAAACTGTAATGAATAATACTTTTGATGATTGCATGTATAGGTCACAGATTTTTTTTTCTCTGCTAACATAAACAAAAGCTAATTTTACAAAGAAAAACTCTCGTTAAAAATATACCTCTTTTGCCTGATAGTCCAATGTAATATTTGTTAAAGTTAAATGATGAAAACGCAACCAATGTATCTCTGATTTTCTTTTTTATATTATAATGACAAAATTATCGAAAAAAGCAGGTTTAGAGCTCTGTTATTGTTATGTAAAGCTTTATTATTGCTGTAAGTTCATCTCAAAATCTAATTGTATTGAATCTCATTTTAATCATCTAATAGTAATAGATATTATTAATGAATTTATTATTGTTATTTCATTAAATTAGTCATTACCATTTTGTTAATGAAATTATGTTATTAAAAATCACATTCCAACCTGCAGACTTACAAAGCTAGTTCGTATTTATTATATTTTGTAAAATTTTGTTATCGTTTTCTAATTTCTAATATGAAAATGTGCGAATATAAATGAAGTGGAAAACAAAATTACAAAATTCACAAATTATTGCCGAGATTGATCAGAAATAGTAAATGAAATGTAAACATTGCATACGTTTTGTTTTAATTAGAACTTAATTTAAATGAAAGCAAAATAATCATCGAAAAAATTGCAAATCTAGCAACCCATAGTAGATGGGTTGCTAGATTTGCAATTTGCAATTTTTGCAACAGCGTCCGACAAACTTGTTAATTTTACTGCATCCATGGAGAGGGAATTAACGAACTTTTCTCATTAGGAAAATGTCAAAGAGGGGTCAAAAGTTGTTTTGGATCGCGCCGGTCTGAAGGCGATTGTAATGACCTTACGGATGAATAAGGTACCATAAGGAAAACAAAACAAACATTTATTAAAAATTAACGTTCAAAGAATAATGGTAAAAAAAGTTAACATTCAAAGAATAATGGTAAACTCGGAGCACTACCTCGCTCCTACAACATAATCTACCACCTGCCTCCTCTGAGGCTAACATGCAACTGTCGTCTCTCTCACTTGCTGGGCTCTGCCAGGCAGCTGATTGGCTCACCGCAGCCAGATACATGACACCCCCCCCGGTAAGATTGTGCTACGCCAAAGCGAAGCAGAATCTGAAAACTGAACCAGCAAATACAAACTTAAATTGTATACTCCACATACCAAATTAATTCAAAATATATGAACATGTATACATGACGTAATAACATACTTTAAAATAAGTGCAATAAACATTCATCTCACAACAGATGAACAGACGGCTTGATACAATACCGGAGTTCTGTAATAAAACATATATGCAATACTATTTCAAAACACAATATTATAATGCAATATTAAATGGAAACCAGTAATTTGTTTTTCAAAACAGATGGAAAGTAGCTCTCGTACAATTCCGGAACAAAAGAAAGTAACTAATGCAAAGTTTTAAAACATATTAGTTCATACTTAGTTCACACCTATTTCATTCACCAACTAGTCTTGAAAGACCATCTGCATTTTTTAATTGTGCACCAGGGCAATGAGAAATATGAATATTATAACGCTGAAGTGCCATTGCCCATCTCTGTAATTTGGCAGAATGCGGTGCCGACTTATGCAAATATAATAATGGATTATGGTCTGTGATCAGCTCGATATTTGATCCAAACACCAAACACTCGAATTTTTTTAATGACCACACAACGGCATAAGCCTCGCGCTCAATAGTTACCCAGTTCTGCTGAGTTTTGGAAAGTTTTTGACTGGCAAAGCTGATAGGATGCAAACTGCCTTTGCTGTCTCGTTGTGACAAGCAAGCACCAACACCATATGAACTAGCATCACACTGTATGGTGTAAGGTTTTCCTGGTTCTGGAGTGTACAATTTTGGTGCTTCACACAGTCGACGTTTCAGATCTTGAAATGCTGATTCCTCAACAGCAGTCCATGGAATTATCTCAGGAATTTTCTTTTTCGTAAGCTCCGTCAATTGGCGAGCTATTTCTGCATAATTCTTTATGTAATTACGATAATAGTTGAAAAAGCCTAATGCACTCTTTGTTTTAGGACTTTTTATAATTTCAATGGTTTGTAATTTCTGAGGATCAGATTGATGTCTTCCAGCTCCTATTATATGTCCTAAATACTTTATCTCCGAACGTGCAAAAACATACATCTTTACGTTCACCATAAACCTGAGATCACTTAATGTAGTTAGCACAGCATCTAAATGTTTGAGATGAGAATTCCAATCTGGTGAAAAGATAGCAGTATCATCAGTATATGCTTTGCAAAAATCACTATGTTTTCTTAAGGCATCATTCATCACTCGCTGAAAAGTAGAAGCTGCATTTTTTTAATCCAAAAGGCATCACTTTCCAACGATATTGGGAACGATGTGTCTTGAATGATGTTAAATCACGACTTTCTTCTTCTAAAGGTATTTCCCAGTAACCTTTCAAGACATCTAAACAGGTGATAACATTCGCACGTGTCCAATTTTATTGATTAGATCAGTCACATTCTCCATTGGAAAATCAACAGGCTTGGTTACTTGATTCAACAACCTGAAATCAATACATAAACGCATACTTCCGTCTTTCTTGGCAACACATACGACTGGGTATGCTATTTCAGCTTCACTTGGCTCAATAAGACCCAAGCTCTCTAATTCCTCGATCTGTTTATCTACTTCAGGTTTCAAAGATTCTGGGATCTTATAGATATATGGCTTTTTTCTTTCAGCTCCAGGTAACAACCG